GTTTAAGTCAAGTTTTATTTTTAACGATTAAGGTTAAAAGATTAACCTTAAAGGTTAAAAATTAATTGAACTGGCTGCGGCAAAACCAAGCCTCAACTCAACTCAACTCAAACTCCGAGTGTTTCTCGTTCCTGGAGGCAGTTAGAATCCAGACCGGAGGCCGGGGCTGGAAGACCATGTTACTGCAGGACAAGAGCACCGCCGTGTTCTGGCCCACTGCCTCCCCACGGTTTCTTGAGAAGGAGCAACAATCCTTCTCTACAGGCTGTCCTCACCCTGCCCAGAATCCCCCGGTGTCTCGGCAGCTTCGTCCACCATCTCTAAGCACTCTGGTGGCTCATTAGTGGAGCAGCTCTGGTGCCAAAGCAGAAGCAAGAAACGTCACCCGCTGCTCAGACAACTAGAGAGGTGTGAGAAAGGTTCAGTCCCCAAGCCAAATCACACCGCCAGCAGAGCACAGAGGCTCTGGTAAAGCACAGTACGGCACAGTGAAATAGGGGGAAAAGCACAGTTAATTACAGTGAAATCACAGCAAAAATACACTATAATGCAACAAGAACAGTGACGCCCGGATAAAGGCATAGTAGAGTGTAGTTCAAGCAGCTGTGTCAGCATGCACTGGCTACAAAGGAACAAGTGACCGGAAGAAGGAACAAGAGAAGGTTTATTCCATGCTGAGAGGAGAAAGGAGACACCCGAAGAAGACTCCACAGCCACAACGTTGTGTTTCCTTCCTTCTCTTCTCATCTGGAATAAACCTTTACTTGTTCCATAGTAAAGTGTAGTGAAATCAGTGTACAATCACAGTAAACTGCAGTAAGTACAGTAAAGTTAGGGTAAAACCACGGTTAAGTACAGTGAAATCGCAGTAAAATACAGTATAGTGCAGTAAAGAACAGTGAAAAGGGATAAAAGCACAGTGAAGTGTAGTAAAGTGTGGTAAAAAAATCAGAATCTGTTCGTACGTAATAGAGGCATCACACCCGAAGAAAGCTCCACAGCCGGAACGTTGTTTCCTTTCTTCCCTTTTCTGCGTGGAATAAACCTGTACTTGTTCCGTTGCAGCCTACACATGCTGACGCAGCCCCTACTGTACTTGAACTACTCTGATAGAGACAACAGTCACAAACTGTTTTCCCTCCTACCGTCCGGTAAACGGTACCGAAGCACTCGGTCCAAGTCCAACAGACTACGGAACAGCTTCTGCCTCCAGGCAGTAAGACTGCTCAACAGCCAACCCGCAGCTCCTTAGCAAATCACTGTAATGGCTACATGGACACACAACTCTCACTGTATTCACCATAACTGCACTACATGTATATATTGCACACACCATGGACACATAACAGCTCTACTCACATTGAGTTTTATTCTATTTCAAAAATGTAACCTCAATTTTGTGATTTTTTGTGTTTTTGTGAATTTTTGTGATTTTTGTGATTCTTGTGATTTTTGTGAGCTCGCAGAAAAAGACATTTCATTGCCAGCAACTACTGCTGCACGCTGTATTGTTGTGCATTTGAGAAATAATCTTTGATTTGATTCATGCACGGAGAGCTTTTGAGCAACAGATTAACCGCACAGGCGCTGTATCGCTTTCTGTGCATCTGAAGATGGACTTTTGTCCGAAACCAGCAATTTCTTTTTAACCATTAAAACCTTTGACACCAAACACCTTGCTTTTCCAGCCGTTTAGTGTCTACAGTCAGCGCTCAATAACATCTCCACCAAAGCACCGCAGAACCGATCCCTGGCAGACCGGCACTTCCTGACCAGGGTAGGATCATTCTCCCTCTCTCGGTCTGGGTCTCTCCGGCTCCTGGTCACTGGTCCCTACTGGGCGAATTAATTCACCTGAACTTCAACAAACTACAATTCCGTGCGAGCGCCAAGCCTTCTGAAAAAATAACTGCACTCTGGTCTTTTTTTAATAGTAAGAAATGCATTTTTGACTCACCTGCCCATTGTCCATAAACTTTTAGATCGGTTTTCCAGTAGGCTGACAAGACATAACTACGGAAACCGCACCAGACACCCCAAGACAATTTCAAAAGCTGAAACGTCACCGTGACAGCGCCTATAGCAGCCAGCACCTTGAGTGACTGACCCGACTCCGCTTCGAACAACATCCTACTGTTCTTCGGTGAAAACAATTAAATTGAGTAATGTTCTGGTCTTGAAGTTTTGACGGATCGTTTCCAATAGATCTGTCGCCACACCTGTTTCTTTCAGAAGTCAAAGTACGACTACAGGACACTTTGTTCTCACTACTTACAGCCTGCCTCCCGCCCCCGTCCACCCTCTCGCTTTCTGATCGGCTCCACGTTGTGATAGACAACCGATCCCGACCACTCACCGAGGACAGGGGTGGGGTCTGCGTAGATGGGCGTGGCAGGACACGCCCCTCCCGGGCTGGCGGTGTCCCTGGGGTTTCTGCAGGTGTCACCGCTCGCGCGTGAGGTTTTTAATGACTATTATTATCCTTCAGTCAAAGGGTCCCAGGAGACAACGCGGGGCTGTTTTGATTACGGAGTACACTGTGTTCTTCGGAGCTGCCGTTCTGGGACCAGGGTCCGTGTGACAGGCACAGTAAACAGGGAACCGGTGGTAAAAGCATGGTAAACTCTGAGGAAGTTGTGGTGAGGTTTGAGGGCGTGTAGTTATGTGTGAGGTTTTTAAGGACCACAGAAACTCCTCTCCTCCAATATTAAGGACCATAGTAACCTCTTCTCCGTATTAAATAACACAGTATCTTTCTCCTCTCCAACATGTTATAGTGTGGGAGTTGAAGCATGAGCAGCAATAGTGTTGTAGTATTAACAGTTGCTGTAACAGGACTGTCCTCCTGTACTGGGACTGTAGCTCTTATTGTAACAGGACTGTCCTCCTGTACTGGGACTGTAGCTCTTATTGTAACAGGACTGTATTGGGACTGTAGCTCCTGTTGTACACTGTTCTACTTTACTGAGAGATGACAGATCTGTCAGAAAAAGGATGCTAATCCTGATTAATTAATTGAGTAACTAAGTGGTTCTGTGATTGCTTGCTGTACAATGTGTCAGTGTGTCAGGATGTGAAGTGGTAAAGCACTCCTCCTTATGTCACTACCAAATTCTATTATATTTCTATCAAATGCTTGCCAAAGCAAAAATACAGTGCCTTGCGAAAGTATTCGGCCCCCTTGAACTTTTCAACCTTTTGCCACATTTCAGGCTTCAAACATAAAGATATAAATTTTTTTATTTTATGTGA